TCTGTGTGCAGTCTGTTGCCATTCTGTCAACAGATACTGTTGACAGACTCTGCGTAAAATCTGCTCGCACAGGTTTGGCTATCTGGGATAAGAAGTTAATATACAAAATTATAATAAATTTATACACATACAGACACAAAGGGTCTCAGCTTTTAATATTTTCACGCGATTTGTTCTCAAATTATTCGTTATTAATAAATATTCTATTTTATTCGAATAAAGTAAAAATTTCTTACTTATCTTTACTCTCATCATTACTCTCAACTGAGTGTACAATACTCTGTGATAATGTGCATATGCAAACAGTGCGCAAATTTGAAATATATTTGAACATGCATGAGTAACGAAGCATTGTTGAAGCACTAGCATTATTTAAACGGTAAATATTCAGTATAATGCTCTCATTTTGGATTTTTTTAAATTTTGCAAATCTGTATATTTTAGAGCATAGAATTGATTTCTGAAAACGAAAATTGTCGCTCATTTTTCGTTTTCTTGTTATTTATTTTTTAATGATGTCAGTAAAAGAATAGGAAAGTGATAACTTTCATTATAAAACTTTCTAATTTTGTGTCAATGTGTCTAATTATTTAAGTTTTATAAAATAGTATATATGATTAAAGCAGAGAAAAACATGCATAAACTATTCTCTGCTTTATAACAGATTTTATGCTTTTGATTAAATCCAGACAGTACAAATCTTCACAGGATATCTTAAAAACATTCTTAGAATATTCCTATATCCTGAGAATGTTCTCAAGACATCTTCCAGAGATCTTGTGCTGTCTGGGTTTAATCAAAAGCATAAACTCTGTTATAAAGTAGAGAATAGTTCATGCATGCTTTTCTCTACTTTAATCATATATACTATTTTATAAAACTTAAATAATTAGACACATTGGCCTGTATTCTGAGTTCTCTTTTGACGATAAATGAGCCTCTAAAAGCGGTTTATAAGCTTTTTGATTGGCTATGAGTCACTTTTAGAGGCTCATTTATCATTAAAAGAGAACTCAGAAGAGAGAAGAAATAAAGTGCAAGTGAAACAAATTTTTCGTCATCGCGCGATTCACGATACATTGAAATTCTTAACCTCAAAAATCTAATTTGTTTTTAATTTAGAAGACGCGGTCCAATAACCGTTACAAATACTGCGCAGTGTTTCTTTTGTTCTATTTCTCGGATTCGAATGAAGAAAGAGAAAGAAGTAAAAACATTACAAAGCATTTGTAACGCTTACTAGACCGTACCTATAAACATTTACAGTATTGATTTCAAAGTCAAGCGAATAGCGAATTCGGTTGCTTGCATTAGTGCGCACTGAGTATGCACTAAGGCTTGTCTATAGTATGTTATTATATTTAAAGATTGTCTTAAATAATTCTTAAATAAATTCTCAAATATTTTTAACCATAATATGATATGTATAACATCCGTACGAATCATTTTATTAGCTAAAATGTTCTTAAATATGTATTTAAGACATAATCTTAAATATAAGAATGTACTGTAAACAAGCCTTAATGCGCACTAGTGCAAGCTACCGAATTCGCTATAAGACTTACCTGGGAGTTTAACCTTCTCGCCAACCCAGGTAGCAAAGTGACGTCTAAAGACGTCATTAAGACGTTATTAAGACGTTATTAAGACGTCTATGACGTTTTAATGACGTCTTTAGACGTCACCTTGCTACCTGGGAAGTATACATACACTTGGGGTCGCAACATTTGTAGAAAATGGTGCTGGCTTCATCGGCAGAATTTACGGCAACCGCTGCAGGTGATTGCCGCAGTCATTGATTATTAAAAAGTTGAGAAAAAAGTTGGACACTTTTTAATAAACAATGACCGATGACTAATGTGACGATAGGTTGGGTTAGGTTAGTTTTTGCGAGGGGCGCAGTCCCCTCATCGTTTAATATCTTTCCCGTGTTACAAATATATATGTCAAATATATTAAAAATATTCTTAATTTAAGTATTTTCATGAAGTTGCTGCACACTGCGTTATACTAATACAGTAAGTGCAACTCTAACTAATAGACTTTACGTTGCAATGACGGGTTTCTTAACCTATTATACCTAGCATCTTTAATAATTAATATCTCGCTTCGCAGTAGAGAGCGACGATTTTGTTAGAGGAAAAAGTTGTTTGGCATGCAAAAACGCGTCGATTGAGTCTACTTTCATCGAAATCGTAGGTGAGGACTGTCTTCTAAATAATTACCTTTTTTTTTTTAGAATGTTATTTTTATCAAACCTGGGGAGTGCTTCGTCCTCCCCCCAAATCCCCCTGAACTCCCAGTTCATCGTTTGCAAATGTTTGAATGGTAAATATACAGCATAATGTTCTCATCTTGGATTTTCTTAAACTTTATAAATTTATATATTATAACACCTAGAATTTACGAGTTTGCATTTGCAAATAATAAGAATACAGGCTATTGATACAAAGTTAGAAAATCTTATAAGGAAAGTTATCACTTTTCTACTTATTGACATCACTTTTCTACTTATTGACATCACTTTTCTACTTATTGACATCATAAAACATTAAAATAAAAAAACAAGAAAATGAAAAATGAGCGACAATTTTCGCTTTTAGAAATCAATTCTAGGTTATAATATATAAATTTATAAAGTTTAAGAAAATCCAAGATGAGAACATTATGCTGTATATTTACCATTCAAACATTTGCAAACGATGAACTGGGAGTTCAGGGGGATTTGGGGGGAGGACGAAGCACTCCCCAGGTTTGATAAAAATAACATTCTAAAAAAAAAAAGGTAATTATTTAGAAGACAGTCCTCACCTGCGATTTCGATGAAAGTAGACTCAATCGACGCGTTTTTGCATGCCAAACAACTTTTTCCTCTAACAAAATCGTCGCTCTCTACTGCAAAGCGAGATATTAATTGTTAAAGATGCTAGGTATAATAGGTTAAGAAACCCGTCATTGCAACGTAAAGTCTATTAGTTAGAGTTGCACTTACTGTATTAGTGTAATGCAGTGTGCAGCAACTTCATGAAAATACTTAAATTAAGAATATTTTTAATATATTTGACATATATATTTGCAACACGGGAAAGATATTAAACGATGAGGGGACTGCGCCCCTCGCAAAAACTAACCTAACCCAACCTATCGTCACATTAGTCATCGGTCATTGTTTATTAAAAAGTGTCCAACTTTTTTCTCAACTTTTTAATAATCAATGACTGCGGCAATCACCTGCAGCGGTTCGGGGGGTCTGGGGGACGAAGCCTCCCAGTCACACAGCTAAAGATAGACGGTATGACAAATTTTCTAACCTCCTAACGCGCCCTCAACTTTATCTATTAATATCTCGCTTCGCAGTAGAGAGCGACGATTTTGTCAGAGTAAAAAGTTGTTTGGCATGCAAAAACGCGTCGATTGAGCCTACTTTCATCGAAATCAGAGGTGAGGAACGTCTTCTAAATAATTACCCTAATTTTTTCAATATTCATTTTAGTATATAGTAAACTCATATATTTAGAAAGGCGAAGATTTAGTAACGACAATTTTTCCAAATAGAAAAGTTTGTTTTTAAAAAGCATGTTGATTGAATACTTTTTCGTCAAAATTGGAGGTGATTTGTATAAACTGAATAATTACCTTCGTATGATCCACGGTGCGATCGATGTGAAGTTCAGAAAAAGTGTACGTCAGTGGCCGCGTTCAGTAGAACAAGTGATCAGTAAGCGCTCGGGGAGCTCTTATATATGATTTGGCATATTCTTTTAGATCTTCAACTATATTCCAATCAGATGCAAGAGCTCACTGAGCGCTTACTGATCACTTGTTCTACTGAACACGGCCTATGACACACAGCTTCTATATAATATAGGCCGCGTTCAGTAGAACAAGTGATCAGTAAGCGCTCAGGGAGCTCTTGTATATGATTTGGCATATTCTTTTAGATCTCCAACTATACTCCAATCAGATGCAAGAGCTCACTGAGCGCTTACTGATCACTTGTTCTACTGAACGCGGCCATATAAAACGTTAAAGGGACATTTACATTGGAAGTAAGCAGTAAGAAGTAGGAAGTAAGAATAAGAAATTGACCAATCATAGTTGATTATTCTTCTCACATTCGACTATGGTCAATTTCTTACTCTTATTTCCTACTTCTTGCTATTTACTTCCAATGTAGACGTCCCTTACGTCGCTGTTAGCTTTTTTACCGACCATGTAATCATATCTACCTTTAAAATTTAGCTATGATCCGTTTTATTCATTATGTAAACCTGCAATACTTCATTATACAAAGAGGATGCCGTTCTCAGGTTGAATAATACGCTCTTATATTACTCAAAACGGGAATGTGATTGGTTCCATTTTGTTTCAAACAGCTTGGAGCCAATAAAAATTCCAACTAGCCAGGATCCTGATTCTCGAAAATATATCGCATATGACATTTAGTAAAGCTATAGTATATGTAACATGAACTATAGCTTTTCACTAAGGCCCGATCTACAATAGTTGGAGTAAGGAGTAGAAGTAGGAGTAAAAATTAAGCAGTAAGTAAAGCGTCGTCTACAATATGCGGAGTAAGCTTGGAGTAAAAAATAAGCCGTAAGAATTAACCAATCATAGACAATTATTTTTATAATAATCGACTACGATTGGCCAATTCTTATGGCTTACTTCTTACTCCAAGCTTACTCCACATATTGTAGGCGACGCTTAAACAAACCCATCACAATCGATTATTTTTGAAACATGAGAATGAAATTGGTCAATTTGCTTATTTCTTACTCCTACTTCTTACTCCATCTATTGTAGATCGAGCGAATATCGTATGCGATATATTTTCAAATCGTCCCATTTTCTTTGTCGCAAAGTTGCACAATAAAATAGGACGATTTGATTGGTTTAACTTCCCTAATAGCACGCATGTTCAAAAGACGTCCAGAGAACATCCAGAAAACATTCAGAGGACATTTTGGCTGTTTACGATAATTCGAGTTGGAGTAAGTACGAGTTAGTTTCACCAGAGCCGAGAAATATGATAGATACAACATCTAATATTTTCATGATTTATGACAACTCAATGCTGTCCGATAAATCGAGTAGAGTAGAGTTAGGGTAGTATAGCGGATAGTATATGAATTAACAGTATCAGGTAACATAGTTTCGTAAAATATATAACAATAATATTACGAAACAATGATTTATTACATTTTAGAAAAATTAGAAGCACTAAATTAAATTATGAAAAGATATCATGTATTTGTGAAATATTCAATAATAACAGATTAATAAT